TTATATTTTATTATATATTATTGTATATTTTAACATATTTGTGAGCTCTGTGGTGTATGCTACTGATAAACCTTCATTTCTTTCTTACTTTTTTTTTCTATCTCTGCATAAAGATTTCACACTTTGGTGCACAGTATTTATGTTTAAACTCACTTTTCTTGTTTTGTTCCTATGTTTAATATTTTGTTCTCCAGTCGATCTGTATTTTTTTTATGTATGTTTCAGGCTTTCGATGGCCTGTTGGCACAGTGTGGTACCGTAGAAAACTGTGAACAAGGTGAGTCCTTTTTCTTTAACATTAAAGTGGACACATTTATTGGTGTTACAGAAGTCATGTGACACTATGATCATGTCTGGGAGAGTAGGTGGGGCTTAAAACCCCACATGTGCAGACTCTGCTTCAAAAAATGCAACATGGCAGCTCCTATAAACAGGATTCTGCTGGCTTCAAATACCCAGCCAGTGGGACATTTGATTTATTGTAATTAATAGGGCTGCAACTAAGGATTATTTTAATAATGGATTAATCTGTCAATTCTTTCGATTAATCAGTGAATCTGGGGAAAAATAATATTTTTATTTTCGACCTCTTGACTCTAAAATAGAATATTTTGGCTGGCATCTAATATGAAGCAATCCATCCGATTGGCAAAATATATGAAGAGCGTCATTGGATTGGTCAAATACTTCAAAGTTCTGTGTGATTGGTTGGCATAAATGCAAACATTTGAGCCAATCATTTGTTGCATTTTAAGCAGATTTTGGTGATATGCCTATTGCACAGGCTGTTATAATGATGACAATAAATTTTTGAGATATTGTGCKGCCTTAAACACAAGTTACTTCCAATAAGAGCCGCAGATTATTAAACATATGTTGCATAAATACAAAATGTAGGCCAGACCTTTTTTACTAGAATCTCAGTTTTACCAAATACATTTATTTGGGAGAAGACTTTAAACTAAAAGGACAAACTTAAAATATTTTTTTCTATCATTCATTTATAATTAGTTTTTTTTTTTTTTGCATTTGATGCACAAATACTGTTTAACCATTCAGAACAACTCTATACATTTTTTATGGGAAACGCTCCAAAAACTGGCAGCAAAGTTTAGTAAATTATAATTTGTGAAAGTGTTTTGTTTCAGAAACCTGACTGTAGTTTAAATTATATTTATTCAGAGTGTCTTGACTGAACAGATAAAATAAAAACTGACYAAACAGAATAAACCAGCAGTTTAAATTTGACTGGAGCAGTTGGATTATACAGAAACCCAGTGAAAATGACAATACTGTGCTGTTGAGAGAATGTGACTAAATCAAAGCTGCCATCTCATGTAGCTATATCCTGTATTTTTTTTATTTTTTTTATAACCTAACTAATTTAGATTTCTCTTGTCTTTCAGTCAACACAGAGAGTGAGACTGCAGTGGTTAATGTTACATATGCATCCCGGGAACACGCGAGGCAGTAAGTGTTTAAATGGCTCTTCATGGTTTTTGCTGCTGATGTCTAATTCTTCGTCGTTAAAAAGTTAAACACACGTTTTAAAATTTCATCAGTACATGTTTGATGAACAATTGTGTTTTTACACTTGTTAGCTATCTGCAAATAAAAAATGATTCAGTTTAAAAAAAAGTTTTTTAAAGTCAGAATTGCATAAAAATGGACTGACCTACTGACCCAATAAAAACAACCCAACTCTCTGTTGTGGTGTGTCGGTGCCATCTAGTGGTCATTTCTAAAACAATTGCTTCAAAGTGTCATTGTTGAAGACGAGCAATACGAACACATTCTGATAATTTGCTATGGCCTCAACATTTATTTTTTTTWAATTTAATTAGAATCAAATGAACTAATCATGAGGTATTCTCACTCTGCTGTTTGTTTATCTTTACTTTCTGTTGTGAGTAAAATATAAAAATCCACCCAAGTATTTCCACATTAAAATGCATAACTACAGAATAAATGGGTCTTGTATCTACAGACTTCATAATTTTATTCTAATTTAATCTGACAGCTCAATAAAAAAGCCATGCTGAGTCAGCTCTTTTTAACAGGGAATATGAAGATGAGATAATCAGTCATTCACAGTGTCAGCTTTTAACTGGAATCTTTAAACTGTAAAATGTTTAAAGATCTAAATAAATCTAAATACTCTATTTATTCATGTATAATACTAGAAATTTAACTCTAAAATCATCCATAAAATAGGGAGGTTGTATTATACACGGGTTATTGGTGATTAGATTTTATATGCTTTTTAAGCAAATGATGATCGTATTATACTTGAGATCTTATTATGCATGAATAAATACAGTAATTACATTTTCATAGTCTAGTTGAGTCCAGTTATAATCCAGGGCACTGAGTACATCAAATGTTCATTTGTAAAAAWTTTTTAACCTGGTTTAATTAGAGATGAGCTGAACACATGAAGATTCAATGTCTTGTTCTCTTTTTAGAACCTGAAGTAAAGCTGAACACAAAGTGATCTGGTGGAACCGGACAGAACCAGAGCATCTTTGACACATATTAGAACAGAACTTTTTTAGTGGGAACAAGAAGTTGAGGTTTTGTTTTGGATTAAACGGGGATTAAGAGGATTTTTATCACTTAAACTTTTGAAGGGAAACAAAAAAAGTGTTACCACTGCTGTTAATCGGTAGTGATTATAGATTAATAACATTACAGGTGACTGTTGCAGTAATTATTTGTAAAATGCTGATCAAGTTGAAGCTTTAAATGAAGAAGAAGAAGAAGAAGATGTTGATGATGAGTGTGTTGTGTGCTGACAGAGCTATCCAGAAACTGAACGGCTATCAGTTGGAGAACAACACCCTGCGCGTCTCCTACATCCCTGATGAGACCTCTGACATGGAGGGGGGCCAGCGGGGGACCGATAACGGTCGGCGCCCCAGCTACGGACCCCGTGGGGGAGTCCGTGGCGGGTCCCCGAGCTCTGGAATGCCTCCCAAACCTCCGCACGCCGACATCCCTCTCAGACTGCTGGTCCCCACCCAGTACGTCGGAGCCATCATCGGCAAGGAGGGCGCCACCATCCGCAACATCACTAAGCAGACACAGAGCAAGTAGGTGGTCATTTAGTTGATTTATTAATTAATTACTGAACACCTGTCAGGGTGTTCGCGGGTCCTTAAAAAGTCAAATTTGTTTTGCAAAATGTGCAAGTTGTTCTTAAATACGTTACGCAAAGGTCTTTAATTTTGTTGGGCAGAAGAGATTAAAGTCTCTCCCGGCAGTCTCTGCAACGCATTTCCTGAAAGTGAGGAGAAAAAACGTGTTGTTTGGGTCTTTGGGAATGTAACTGACACTGCGTTGAACCAATAAAAAGAACCTGAATCACAGTTTTAGCCAATCAGAGCAGAGCAGGGTGAGTCCTGCTGTCTGTCAGCAAACGCAGGTAAAATAATCAGCGTTGCTTGGAATTTTTCCAAGGAGTTCACCTCGACCCGCTACCAGAACCGCGCGCCCCGCATGAAGCTCAAGTCATGTAATAAATTATTAAATGTTTGTGTTCGCCCCGGTGTTTGCACATGAGCAGTTCACCGCAGCTAATTGCTACACCATTACCTCCTTCATGGAGCCCTGACCTGCCTGGGACATTTGTATCTGAAGTCTAAATTTTGATTAAGTGTTAATGTGTTTGGAGCGTCGTCTTTACCTTACAGGTGTGCAACTTGCGTGCGTGAACAAACTCAGGGTACATCAGAGAGATCACATCACTGCAGGAGCACGCTCAGCCTGAGTCTCTCACCATGACAGAGGAGGCTGTAGCTGCTGCTTTAGTTCTTAGTATAAAACAATAATAAAGCAAAAGTTAAACATTTGTAGACCCCAGATTACAGAAAGGACATATTTCTTCGTTTAGATTTAATTTTCCCTCAAACTCACAAAAAACAATGACCTGTAAATAATCCCTTTTAATGAGTCATTTTAAGGGAGAAATCTGTCAAACTAGAAAATAAAAAATAATTAGTTGATAAATACTTCGCGAAGGTATTTCTGTTCTGTAATTTTTTCTTATCTGTCTATCCTATTCAAAGCACTGATATCAAAGTAAACTTTGTTAAAACCTTCAGATCCTTCAGAATTGATTTGGTTTTTAATGGTGCAGGTTAAAGTGTACATTTATTGACAGTTTGCTGGATGATTTTTTGTAAAGAGGCAAAACTGGAGATTAAGACACAATTAACCTCACGCCATGAATGTATTAGAAGATGTATTTTTTGTTGGATGTCTCCAACCAAATAACGGCATTGAACCAGAGAGCACTTACAATCTTTATATTCACTGTGTTTCAGAGCGACACACATGATTGGTTGTAATACAGCAGAATCCTCCAACCTTCGCCTATATCGATAGTATTTTTGGTCTTAAATTTCATTCAAGGTGGCATTAAAAGTCTTAAAGTCTTAAATTTGACTTGCTAAAACCTGCAGATACCCTGCCTGTGCAGCAGTGGTCCTCTAACGTTTCTTCTTCTCTGGTTCATCACACAAACACGTCTGAGTGCAGCAGTGTCTAAACATTACTTCTGCTTTCATATTTAGGCCCAAAATTACAAAGTTAATTAAAATGCAAGTGGTTAAGTGCCCGCTCTGTAATGACCCTGAGCCCCACCCTCTTTCATGGTTTGCACCCCACATTATGAGAATCGCTGATGTGTTGGGATACGTGACTGGACACTGCTCACTGGAATTTAGTTTGACTGGAGAGTAAACCTGAGATCTTTTGTTTCCAGCTGTAGATCACATACTGTAGCTGTTTTTTCCTTTCATTTCTATTCGTACTACTGGCAATAATTAGTATTTATTGTATAGGAGTATTGGCTTTAAAGTTGATGCAGCAAGGTGAGGTGTGGAGGATCCGTCAGAACTGATAAAGTGTTGACAAAGTCTCCTGTTCCTGTAGGATTGATGTTCACCGTAAGGAGAATGCTGGTGCTGCTGAGAAGCCCATCAGCATCCACTCCACTCCCGAGGGCTGCTCCGCCGCTTGCCGCATGATCCTGGAGATCATGCACCAGGAGGCTAAAGACACAAAGACGTAGGTTTCACGYGGACGTCCAGCAGATGGTAGCCCCTCAGCCTGTATCTGACCTCTGACTTGTCTCTGCAGCGCTGACGAGGTTCCTCTGAAGGTTCTGGCTCACAACAACTTTGTCGGCCGCCTCATTGGGAAGGAGGGACGGAACCTGAAGAAAGTGGAGCAGGACACAGACACCAAGATAACCATCTCCCCGTAAGATACGCATATACACACAAACACACCTTCTGATTCAGAATAGGCCTGGGCGATAAACTGAAAAATAACTGATACAGACATTTATGACAATAACCAACGTCATTGTGCCCATGTCATTATTTTCGGTATTTAAAAACTGAAGATAAGAGAAACTGTTTTCTGTTGTCTCGTTAAAGCTGCTCAGTCTGATACAGGTTTAAACAGACGCTGCTTTCAACAAATCAAAGGAACCCCACAGCTTTATCCAATCAGAGCAGAGCAGGGCGGGACTTTCTGATGTCGGCGATGCAGTCTGCAAGACAAACCATAGATGTATATATAAAGGCTAGATAAGTCGTATGTGCTTTGGGCCAATGGAGACTGACGTCATCACACTGTGGCCATCTTGGGATGGGGAGCTCGCCCACTCTTAACATGAATGTGTGTGGTGTGTTTACTGTTTAAATAACCATAAGTTGGTCAGTTTTGATCAGATTTTTAAACAGATTTTTTTGTAAAGATAAAATGCCACGCTTATAATGGACATTCATTTAATAATTACATTATTTTTATAGGTAAAACATTTATATACACAATACATTTAGGTTACTTTTACAGGAATTTATAAATAAACATATAAAGCAAAATTATATACATACATACACACACACACACACACACACACATATACATACATACAGCAGACTGACTGCTCATAAAATACACAACAGGTCTGGACCACTCGTGAATTTTGTTCGTATCTGAAAGAAATCTTAGAATACGAGAAAACGCCACAAATTCTCCTAAATCACTCGTACGCACAACTTAAGAACAAATCTGTTCGTACGAACAGTTCTTGCATGAGGCCCATTGTGCATTGAAAGTTTTAACCGAGCACACAAATAAGTCTAATCCTGTGTGCAGTCTCCAGGACCTGACCCTGTACAACCCAGAGAGAACCATCACTGTCAAAGGCTCCATTGATGCCTGCTGTCAGGCTGAAGTGGAGATCATGAAGAAAGTCAGAGAGGCCTATGAGAATGACATCGCTGCTATGAATGTAAGAGAACACACACACACACACACACACACACACACACACACACACACACACACACACACACACACACA